ATGAAAGGATTTCAAAATAGTGGTTGTGTTCTATAGATATTTAAGCCTTGTTTGAACTTAACAAGCTGTTTTCTTTTTTCCTATATAAGATTTAGTTAGATGCTCTTTTCTAGTTAAATGGAGTATAAATTGAGACTATAAAGATGAATTAAACTCATTTTATTTTTTATATATTTTCATGACTTATACAGGTTTTACATCTGGATTGAACAAAGATGGAATTGAAGCAAAATTACAAGGTTAGATGTACTTCCTTCTATAAAATATATATTCTATATATTTTAATGAAAAACATCAGTTATTATTACAGTTAAGGATTTTTTTATAATTTTTTAAAAATAAACTTGTCTAGAAAAATAATACTTTTTTCACACAAATAAAGCTTGGCAAAGATACTTTTTCCTTCTTATTTATTATAAAAATTAACTCATTAATTGTACAGATTAATGGATTTTACTGTGACATTTCCATATATGCATAGATCATGTTTTAATCATATCCATCCTTCCTACTGCCCTCTTTTACCCTCCCCCACCTCCTCCTCTTTCCCCTACTAGTTCTTCTCCTTTCAGGATTTTTTTTTAAGGTTTTCACGTGTAAGAGAAAACATGTGATACTTATGTTTCTGTGTCTGCTTTATTTCACTTAACATAGTGACATAATTTCATTTTTTATGGCTGAATACTATTCTGGTTTTTCTGCAGAACCTTGCCAGCATTTGTTATATTTTATTTGTTTTTGTATTGATGACAGTCATTCTGACTGAGGTAAGATGTTATTGAAGGGAATTTTTATTTGCATTTCCCTGATGACTAAAGTTGTTGAACATTTTTCATGTATTTATTGTATTACTTTTTGTACTACTTTTGAGAAATGTCTATTTAGATAGTTTGCTCATTTTAATTGGATTACTTATTCTTTTGTCTTTTAAGTTCTTTATATATTCTGGATAACTGTTCTCTGCCATTAGTAGCTGGCAAAATTTTTCTCTCATTAGGTAGATTGTCTCTTTACTATATTGTTTCTTTTGCTATGCCAGAAGCCTTTTAATTTGATATAATCTCATTTGTCAGTTCTTGCTTTTATTTCCTGAGTTACGTGAGTTCTATTCAGGAAGTTATTGCCTGTGTCAATATCTTGAAGTATTTCTCCTAATAGATTAAAAAGTCAAAGGTTTCAGGTCTTTTATTAA